TTTTTTTTTTTTTTTTTTTACAAGTGCATACACTTGCTTGCATCGTATTTTTATATCATATTCTCGACAGTGAGAGAAAAAATTTAGAAATATAAAAAAAAAAAAATACAACATACACACACACACACAAACGATTTAATGAATCACGTCATTTGTGAAAAAGGTTCACTGGCCTTGATCCAAAAGAAAAATATCAAAACTATCTTTTTATCTCTATCTTTCTCACTCTTTCGCATTTTTCTATTCTAACTGAAGAAGCTTATCATAGGAGACACAAATAAAAAAAGCCTTAGAAAACTTTCGATCCTGACGAATAATAAAAGAGGATTTTAAAAATGTTTTCTGGCACAACCAAACCCATTCCCCTTCTATTCTACAAAAGTATAATAACCATTGAAATATTTTCTTTCCTTTTCTCATCCCCTTACTCTCTCTCTCTCTCTCTCTCTTTTATTTATTTTTCAGATAACAAAATTCAATAGGAGTTTCAATTAACATATTTTGCAATTAAATTTAAATGTAAAACTTGTCGACCATTTTTCCCGCCAACTTCTCTCATTATAGTTTCTTTTCAATTTTTCAAAATGGCGAATTTAGTTGAACACGCAAGTATTTCGTTTGTATGCATGTGTATGTTTTTTTTTTACAATGAAATTTGATGTAAAACTTGTCAATCATTTTTCCCGCCAACTTCTCTCATTTGTTTCGTTTCAATTTTTCAAAATGGCGAACTTAAACACTCAAGTATTTTATTTCTATGTTATTATTAATATGTGTTGTGTGAGTAATTCATGCTTTGATAGATATTTTTCTAGGCACAATAAGGCATTATAAACGTTTTATTATTCAGATAGTTGTTAAATGTCTTACAATGAATTATTTTTGGTAATTATAATATACTTACACAAATGTATGCGTTTATGAGAAACGACGACGACGACGACGACGACGACGACAACGACAACGATGATCAAAATAACGATGACGATGATGATGATCATTGAAGAATACAACGTAGAAGAAGAAGAAGAAGATGATGATGATGATGAATAAAACGACGATGACGAGGAATCTAGGACGAAGGATGAGAAGGACAACGATGAAAAAACGAAGAAACGACGAAGACAACAACATAATTAATTTTTTTTCTCTTTTTTTTTTTTTTTCTTTTTCTTTTCTATAAATAATGCTGATCCTCGGATTACGTAATTTCTAAAAACTATATTTACAACAAGGAAAGCAGCCTTTTTGTCGTTGTTAAATCGTAATATACGAAATTATTATTTATTATTATTATTATTATTATTATTATTCATTATTAATATTATAATATTATTATTATTAATATTTTTATTATTATTATTATTATTAATATTAATATTATTGACTCTCGCGCTTATTTTCCTTGCTCTCGTTTTATCGTAATGTGTGTGTTGTTTTTTTTTTTTCTTTTCCTTTTTTCCTTTTATTCATTTATTTATTTATTTTTATTTTTATTTTTTTTTTTTGTTAACTTTTAAAGTGTAATTTATTTTTCATTTAATTTCAAATTCTTTCTTCCTTTCTTATTTATTTTTGTTTTTTTTTTTTTTGGATTATTAAATCGTAGGTGTATACACACAACATAAAAGAGATGTTCTTTTTCTTTCGTTGTTTTTTATTTGTTTATTACTTATTATTTATTGATTTATTAAATTAATTTCTTCTTATGGGATTCGTTCCTCCCCCCTACTGTTGTTTCATTTTTATTCAATAAAAATTTTCATATCGGAAGACGATCGATGAAATAAAATAATCAATAACAAAATAATCATCGCACATAATAATAATAATAATAATAATAATAATAATAATAATAATATTGGGTTGTCCGGTAAAGTTTGTGCCGATTATGTTGAAATATGTTTTGCAATTTAAGTTTTGTTGTTGTTGTTGTTGTTGTGGTATATATAATAAGTGCCATTTTGTTTCACACACTTTTTCTCCATCTTTGAGAGTAATTTACAAAATTTTTTCAGGTTTTTTTTTTTCTAGCAAAATAACTTTAATGCCATCTATCGGAAATCGGCACGAACTTTTCGGACAATCTAATAATAATAATAATAATAATGATTATTATTATTATTATTGTTAATATTTATTTTTCTTTATCAATTATTATTATTATTATTATTTTTATTATTATTTTCATTGAGATAATAAAATCTGTGATTTGATCCTTTGATCGACTTCCGTGTATGTGTTGTTGTTGTGTTGTTGTTTGTGTATATAATGTTTATGTTGTGTATGATGTGTGTGTGTGTGTGTCTTATCTTGCGGCAAGAGAGACTAGAGTCGCATAATTCGTATTTTATCATTGTCCTTGATTGAAGAATCTTCCCATGCATGCGTACATGTGTGCATTTAAGTAAACAAATACTTGCACAACTCGTTGATGACGATGCTCGGTGGATAATAAATATTATTTTTTGTTTTTTTGTTTTTTTGTTTTTATAATTCGAATCATTTCTTTTCTTTTCTCTTCTTCTTTTTTTTTTAGGTTAGTTTTAATAGTATATTTGTTTTATATATATAAGTATTTTATTTATTTTTTTTTGTGCGTAGGAAATTTGTATTATCAAAATATGGCTATCGATCAACCCGCGTTGTTATTATTATTATTTTATTACTATCATTACTATCATAACTATTATTAATATTATTATTATTATTATCATTATTATTATCTTATTACTATTACTATTATTATTGTTATTTATTACAATTATTGTTATTTAATATTATTATTATTATTATTAATTACTATTATTATTATTCATTGTTATTATTATTATTATTATTATTATTAATTATTAATTATTAATATTATATTTATTACTGTTTCTCTCTATTTTTTTTTTGTTTTGTTTTGCATGTAACGATTTTAAATGGCAATTGCATGGCGATTGAAAAACCATATTTGTTTTTTTTTTTTTATTTTGTGTAACAACAAAAAGTGAGAAAAAACAAAAAATCATAGAATATGCCATGAAGATTAAAAACATTCAACAATCTTTGACTAAAAGCAATAAAAATTTCTAATCAAATCTTACCCCCTCCTTTCCCTCTCCACCCCCACTCCCGTCACCACCGAGCATTGTCAAAAACACATGCACTGTAGCTTCTTTTTTTCTTTTCCTTTTTGTTTATTATTATTATTATTATTATTATTATTATTATTGTGTTATACACAAAAAGTTAACAATTGTAACGTATCTGGATTATTATTGGCCCGTTGTTGATCGGTTCGGTAGAATTGAAATGGGGATTTACAATTTTGTATAAAAAAAAAAAAAAAAACAAAGAAAAAAAGAAACCCAAAAAATAAAAATAAAAAGAGGTAGGAACGAATTTTAACAACAACAAAAAAAAAAAAAAGAAAGAAAATCATCGATATGAACACACACACGTGTCATTTTTCAATTATCCAATCATTTGTTTCCGCCATTTTTTTCTTGGTTGTCTCTATAATAAATTTTGTCCTATTTACATACACAACTATACAAATACAGCATAAATACGCAAATTCTTTCCCCGTTTATCTCTTTTTAATTTTTTTTCTGTTTTTTTTTTTTTTTTCGTTTTGTTTAATTCATTTGTTTGTTTGTTTTTTTTTGCTTCTTTTTCCTTTTTTTTTTTTCTTTTTGTTTTATTACATATTACACATTTTGTAAGGACACATCTAAAATAAGGGCTTGCACATAAGTGACGACATTTTGAAAATTTTCGATCGTTCCTTCGTTTATGTTTATTTTTATGTTTATGTTTATGTGTTTTGTGTATCTGTGTGTGTGTGTGTGTGTGTATATATATATTTTACAACAAAAAAAAAAGAAAATAATTACAATTCAATATCCTGCAAAATATCAAAGCTGGATCGAAAAGTAATGGCGTCGTTACTACGCATGTCAAATTATATCTAACATTTGAAATAAAAAAAAACCGATTGATATTTAAATTATTTAAATTATTATTACAAAATTTGCATATCAGATATAAAAAAAAGGTTGTTGATAACGTGCCTAATTAATTGAATTAATTAATTCATTGAATTATTGAATATAATAATACCAAATTGTTATTAGAAACAAATTTGTTTGAATTTTGAGGTTAACACAAGCGACATTACTTTCCCGATCCGCCCTAATACAATGGAACATTTATGTTTTTTTCTTAACAAAATCTTGCGACATTAAAAGAGTGTGTTGTGTAGTGGTGTATTTTTAATCCCTTTTTTTGTTCATCCCTTATCGGATGATATCGTTTATTAAATCGTTCATTTCCGTTCTTCTTAGGAAGAAAAAAAAAACAAAACAAAAAAAAAATTAAAGGAAGAAGACACACGATCTTAGCGAAGAAAAACGATGCAATTTAAACTCTCTCTCTCTCTCTCTCTCTCTCTCTCACACATTCTCTCTCTCTTGTTTTCTTTCATTCTCTCTCTTTCTTTGTTAAATTTTTCTTATCACAGTAGATAATAATTATTACTGTAGTACGAAATTACATTCACATTTTCTCTCTCTCTCTCTCTCTCTCTTTCATTTCCTGCAGCTGTTGCTGTTCTTTGAATTTGAACAGGCAGGCGCGTGCGTGTTTTCTTTTAGTTATATATATATATATATATAAAAAAAAAAAAAACAACAACAACAACTAAAAAAAACGCGAGCTCGGGTGAGAAGACGCAGTAATATACTGCGCCTGCATTCTTTCCTCATTCCTAAATATTGGTTGTTATATTGTGCACCAGGAAGGAAGATGAGAAGGCACAGTGTATTTACAAATTACAATGATCGTCGTTAAGAATATATAATATGTACACATTTAACAACACCCCTCATTAAACGGTAAGAAAACAAATGAATTAATTTTACCGAATGTGAGAGGTGTCTCTCTCTCTCTCTCTCTCTATTTAGAAATACAGATCTTATTTATAAGATGTCTCCCCCGGTCCTATTATTCAACCGATTCCTCGTTCTCCTCTAATTTCAAAGAAAAAAATAAAAAACAAAAGAAAAAGAAGAAGAAGAAGTTCATCTATTGTTCTTCAAGGTCGGACAAGATTGTTTTTCGGTGTTGTTATTTGTTTTTTACATGTTGAAATTGAATGACTTCCAACCAGGTTGAACAATTAATAATAATGATGATGATGATGATAATAATAATAATATCGCGAGTACGAGGAATATAGGAAGAAACTTTGACTTGTTGGTTGAATTAAAATGAGAATAATATGTAGCGAAGTTTATAATAATCCTCGCATGATCACTCGCGGATCACCTACACGGGGCTAATAGAACTTCGAGCCAACAGGGACAAGAGGTAACCTCCTGTCTCGAGTATTTGGGTCCCCAGCCTTTGGCGAAGCTGATGCGGACGGAGTTAATGTCGACAGGGCCCGATGAAAAACCGGAAGCTGCATTGTTATTGTTCCTCGAATTGCACCCTGGTCCGTTGTATGAAGAAGGAAGTTGTAAGACTTTGGCTCGGTCAAATATGTTCAAGCAAAAGCCCGGTGGCACTCGGTAGACCAACAGAGTTCGCGATTCCGGATCGTCTAAGGTCGGTGAGTTCACGAAGATCGGACTCTCCGATCTGTTGTACGCCCACACGCCGTCGGCTTCTTGGCTCAGCATGATACCTAAGAAAGGATAACAGTATATACTTGTGTTAAAGAAAGATTAAGATAAAGAGAGAATGAGAAATATCCTTTGCAATAAGATGATAATACCAGATAAAATAGATCTCAAATCAATCAATCAATCGATCTAAACGATCTTTTTCAATAGAACAACTTACCGAGACCAATTTTACTGCGGGTTTTTAGTACCGAGGGTGGTGCTACGTGATTTTCTGCTAACGTTGACAAACATAGACCATTGCCATCATGTAATGAATCGAAAACGTTAACTGTTAACGGTTCAACGGGGTAAAGACGACCAACTCTACCACCAAGTTCCCAATACGCTAACGTGCACCATTCCTTTTGGTCAGTCTCCCCTGAAACAAATAAATATAAACAATTTATTATTATAATAATGAAAATAATAAATTACTCGGTCGATAAAGAAATTGTTGTATAGATTCCTAAAGATCTTTGAGATAGTTTTTCTTTTTTCTTCGATAAATTGAACACAGTCGATAAAGTAGAAACATCCTAAACGTGATACGATCACCGTAGGAAAAATGATCCTTATTTTGCGATAAAAATGGTTAAGTAGAACACACGTTTTAAAGGAATATATATATATACGTGCATTTCAACGAACCGAAAGAGAAAAAGAGAGGGAAAAAGAAGAAAGAGAACCTCGGAAAGTCCCACGCGTCTCGACTCGTTCGTTCATCGTGGGTAAGCAGCCGGCGCCAGCCAGATTCGAGACTAGACAAGAAGACAGAACACGATGGAGAAAGGGAACGGGAATCCGAAACGGGGGGATTTGGGGAGAAAGAGAACGAGAAGGAAGGAAGGAAGGAAGGAGAAGGAGGGCCAAGCAGGCAGGGCTGGAGGAATAAACGTTGGGGTGGGAGGTTAGGAGGGACAAAAAAGGGGGAAGTTAGAAGGTGCAGGTTGATGGGGTATGTTGGGCAATCGTTACCTGCCTTCTTCCGTTACCTAAGAATTTTCTCCTAACTTTTTGTTGCTTTTCCTTTTTTCATCAATAACTTCTCAAAAGTTTTTTTTTTTGAACGTAACCCTGCAATGTCGACACTTTATTTATCATTTAATGAAAGTTCAACATATAATTCCTCATAATCTTTTTTTATATTTTAAATCAACACATGAGGGGGAAGGGAAAAAGAGATCATGATCTATGAAAGAGGAAAAAAAGTTTGAAAAAAGGAAATGAACGATCGAAGTGTAATGGTGCGCCATCTTTGATATTTGTTAACGACCGATGGTAAAAACGATTTATCGACAATTTTTAATAGTGTGCGATAATTTAGGTGAATACTATATATATATATATAATAGAACGATCGTGTATATATTATATATACATGTGTGAAAGTAATTTTAAAATTATACATATGTGTAGATGCACACGTGTGTGTTCAGTGTGTTGCATTTATGTGCATAAGTAGAAAGAGAAATGTAAGAATAAATCTCTTGAAACTTTAGGAATGTACATTTGAAAATACAGGATAATAAAAATCGTTAAATATCGATCGAGAATAACGTGTGGGATATTTGTGCAGAGATATAATTCGTGGTTATTATAAGGTTATAAGATTTGGAGGTTATGGTGGTAAAAGAAAAAGCAAAGAGAGTAGAGGAAAAGAGAGGAGAGTAGGATAGATAGAGGAAGAAAGGACGAAAGAAAGAAAGAAAGAAAGAATGAGAGAGAAAGAGATGGTGTGTCGAAGCTCTCTCTCTCGCTCACTCTCTTTGCGTCGCGTAGAACTTGACGTGGGGTGAGAGGCGGGGTTCCTCTGCTTCCACCAGATAAAAATAGATATTACGAGTTTACCGCGGCGCCAAGATTGCGGGGTATCGCGACGATTACGTCATCGGTAGTAGCGCGAGTGGTTGGAGCAAGGACGCCTGTCGCGTCGCCCGTTGTCGTCGTCGTCGTCGTCGTAGTCATCGTAGTCGTCGTTGTTGTCCCTCATCGTTTGCGTTCAAAGTTTTTCGTCAATTGTTATTTTTCGATTTAAATATGGTTAAAAAAAAAAACATGGCCGCCGTTTAGAACTAAACCGCCCGCCATATTGGAACTTAGGAAAATTCGCAGCGTGTTGATCGTCGTCGTCGTTTGCGTTCAAAGTTTTTCGTCAATTTTTATTTTTCGATTGAAATATGGTTGAATAAAAAACATGGCCGCCGTTTAGAATTAAATCGCCCGCCATATTGGAACTTAGAAAAATTCGCAGCGTTCAAATAATTCATCAAAAATTGAAAGCGTTTAAATGACAGATTTACAAAAACAAAAAAAAAATGTGCATTTATAAGCAAAAATTATTGCAAGAATGACGAATGACGAATTTGTCTTTTTTTAATGATTCCTTCTTCTTCTTCTTCTTCTTCTTCTTCTTCTTCTTCTTCTTCTTCTTCTTTCTCTCTCCGTTGCACTAGACAGACAGACAGAGAGAGAGAGAGAGAGAGAGAGAGAGAGAGAGAGTGGTCTTTGACCAAGAGATATGAACACATTTTTCTCTCGAGGCGTAGTCGATAAAATTATACGCGAATCATTTTTGAGTATTGTAACTATGGCTACGTAAGAGTAATAAATGTGTGTATGTATTTACGTGTCTCTTTCTTTCTCTCTCTCTCTCTCTCTCTCTCTCTCTTTAAGTATATACATAAGATACATTGTATCTACATTGCGTATGTAAATACAGGTAAATACATAGTTTTGATTTTCTACAGTTAGACAAGACAGAAATTAGAGAGAACTCTGATACTCATTTTAATTTGAATTTGAGTGCACAAAGGTTAAAAGTTAGTTTAATATATCTCTGCGTTTTTTTTTTCTTTTTTGTCTTTTTCTTTCTATTTTCTTTTGGATTACGGTCGTTTGTCTTTTAACTATCCACCGAGATATAAACCGCCCACTTGGCTTTATAGAAATGAGGCGCGCCAGACGCTCGAGGGTAATAAGTGCTTGAACGATCGATCGTTGATCTAACGTCGCGTATCCCCGTCCAAGATCCATGCATACACACACACACATACACATACACACGCAACAAGCATGCACGCTACTCACGTATACATATATATAAAATTAATCTAATATTTATATATATATATATTTTTTAATAATTTATTATATATTTAATATATTATTTTATTATATAAACAACAAATAGAGTAGGTATGCATAAAAATTTGTATTAAATTATTAAATAAACAATTCTTCCATCTATTATTCATATTCAATTAGTATTGATGAAGAAATAATTATAATTGACAATGAATAATTTCCTGAGATTCATAAATACGAGACGATTACTAATATTAATAATGATGATGATGATGATGATGATAATGATGATGATGATGATTTTTGTATGGTTCCTGTAGGTGTAAGAAAGAAATGAAATTATTGAAGAATAAATCCATGGATTCTAACGAAAAGATCATGGACACATCGAATTGCTCGCAACGCCTCGAAGATCTCTCAAGAAGTCGACCTTTCCTGTCGCATACCAATCGGCACGCAGCTTATATACGTAGTACTTACTTCATGGCAAGGTGTATCCTACGTAACTATACATATATATATGTGTGTGTGTGTGTGTGTGTGTATGCGTAAATACACCATCATACCGATGGAAGAAAGAGAGAGAGAAAAAAAAATACAAAAAAAAAATGTTCAAAGAGAAAGAGAGAGAAACATGCGACAGTGCCGGCTAAAGCATCTGTTAGTCTCGTTTGGAATGCGATATGATCGTTGAACGTTGGGTTGTCTCCTCTCATTTCAGGGATTACGAATTTATATCACACATTTACATATACATATCATCTATATAAAAAAAATGTATAGGTGTGTGTATCTTCTATTTATTTTTTTATTGTGTATATATTTTTTGTTATCCCAAAGCGTGACGGAGAGGTGGCTGGTGGAGGTGGGTGGGGGGTACAATCGATTAATTACGCGGACCTTTCGGAGGATCTCGCGTGTCAAAGCTTCTTTCCTCGTATATAAACGAGAAAGAGAGAAAGAGAGAGAGAGAAAGAAAGCGTAAAAGTCGTAAATTTAAGGTTATCGGATTAGATGGCTTCTCTCATTCGATCTTTCTACGTCACGCACGCCTTCTGCACTAAATATGGAAGAGAAGACCAACCAACCAACCAATCAACCAACCAACCAACCAAGAAAGAAAGAGAAAGAGAAAGTAGTTTACTTGGGAATATAAATTTGAATGGGTTAAGAGAAGAAAAAAACAAGTTTTCAAAAGTTACCATGTAAAATAATATAGGGATAAGAGAGAATGATTACTATGATTGGGCAAACTTTATCGATCGATTGTAAGAAGAAAAATAGAAAAAGGCAGAAATAGAGAGAAACAGTGAGTGAGAGAGAGAGAGAGAGAGAGAGACTAGGCATGCATTGTCGTGTCAAATATATTAACACGTTGAACGCCACGCGAATTTTGACGGAAATCTTCGTCAGGCCACGCGAACGTAAGTTTGCAAAACGTAAAGTTGAACGTCAGGCATCGGTGTCTGACACGGCCTGAACGTGAAGTTTAGTGTCAGTCATTTATGACTGACGTGACACTCAACGCATTAAATGTACATTCCACACTGTGATGAGGGTTGACGGGGGGTGAGGGGTGGGAAGGGGCTAGGTAATAGATGAAAACTATTACATAGAAACGTGTAAGATACTATTTCTATTATATCTTCTGTTAACTGAAAAAGACATTGAAATGAGATAGGATCTATGAGAATGGAGATGGGGGATAAGGGGGTGACACACGAACTTTTGTCGTTACAACTGAGGGACTAGGAGGAGGAGGAGGAGGAGGAGGAGGAGGAGGAGGAGGAGGAGGAGGATGAAGGGAATGGGATAAAAGATTAAAGGAAACATAGATAGATTGGATAGAAAGATAGAAAGATAGATAGATAGATAGATAGATATAAAGTGAACAAGACACGCTAGAGCATCGATTCTTATCCCTGAGTGTACTTTTCTCTCTCGGTTGGTGTATATCGAGAACAAAGGACGATTGTGGACGAAGCTTTAAGGATATCGACGAAGAGAGAAAGAGACTCCTGGTTTGTATTAGTAGTAGTAGTAGTAGTAGTAGTAGTAGTAACATTGGAAAGAATAAGTGAGTGACTGAGAGAGAAAAAGAAAAAGAAAAGAAGAGAAGAGAAGAGAAGAGAGAGAAAGAGAAAGCAAAACGTAAAGCGTCGCGCGAGTGCCAATGTGTTTTCCCAGTTGGGTCAAACACCCTGAAGCTCTCTCTCTCTCTCTCTCTCTTTCTGTCAGATAAGGTTCCCAACCTTGGCACGGCCAAGCAAAGTAAGTAGCCTGCGTAACCGTAGG